GCTCTCGTAAATCTCATTCTGAGCAACCGAGACTTCAATAACCAATGGTACTTGCTGCCAAACCTTAACCTTGCCCATGTGTATGGCGTATCCTTGCTCTATACTGTGAACGCAAGGCGGCATGTTCGAGATGGCATTTCTCAAATGATCCCCAGCGGCAGTATTGGACAATCGACCGACGAAGCGAATGAGACGAATTGGATGAGCCTTCACAGATTACCGAATCCACTCGTAAGTAAAGCTGATATGCTTAATACACTCTCTTTCTTACAAAGACAAACGATTTTTAGACACCCGGGCCAGATACACTAAGCTCCACTCCAGTGCGTGTGATTGACATTCAGACAAAGTCTCACCACGATGATGAGCTCAACGTGAGTTGTCACAATTCAAAGCTATAGCCATTTTCTGAAACTCTTGTCATTTTTTGCAGGCTGATAGTTTTGAGCACGATAAAGTAGATGAGTTCCATAGGTGACAGTGATAAGACGAAAACGAAGAGACTTTGATTCCATATAGCTAATCATCTGAGTTTCTTCCTATGAAGTTTTCATGCGATACCAGCTATATAAACTGGCTAAAGGCATCCAAGCTGGCAGACACCGGTCTCATTGCCGATGCTGCTTCCCGTTATAACGGATCGACTATATGCTTATTTATGACATAATATTCTTGTATTAAAATAGTTGTATTGTCTCTCGAGCCGGGCTATTGAAGGTGACCTGTCAGTATTTAGTTTCACTCGTGAGCTTTCTTTGGTGATCTTCTCTCCTCATACGCGAATAAATTAAGCCCAGCCTTCTAGGCCTCTACTTGTTGTATGTAAAGATTACGAAATAGTACTAATAGCTGGTAAATATTATTCTAATGGAAAATCAAAAAGCTGTTGATCCAAATGCCTTCAGTCACGATAAGGCATGTCTGAAGTACCCGAAATTCTGTAGTTGAGGTGTAGACCTGGCGAAAGGAAAACTCATGAGCTCCTTAAATATATAATTATCGAATCACTGAAGACCGGGAGGTGAAGTTCAATGTCGGCCAATTAGGCTCGGGCCGACGGCAGAAAAATTGGGAGGCCCCTCATCACGAAAGTTGGCACGGGCCGCGTAGTGCTAGGTAGGCTGTATACGCCGCCTAGCCCCCATAGTTTCGCTAGCGAAGATGCCATTGTGGAGTCCTCATAATTGGTCTAGCGAGATGCTTAGCGACGTAGCACAATTGCCGAAGCTTGCTAGCGGAGTCCTATATAGCGCACATAGCTTGAATATCCTTCGTAGCACACTATTTATTGTATAAATTTTTCTTACTTAGTAGTAGTCAAGTATAATTGAAATATGTTTATTACTTTGTGCTAGCTACTACTAGTAATATATAACGGGTAACCTAGGGACAACTAAATGACAACAATTATCTACTGATGCAAGCAGCGGAAAAGCCAAGGGAAAAGGTCAAGAAAAGAGAAAAAAACCAAGAGAACTCCCTGCATGGCACAGGCGGGAATCTGAACGGCAGTACCAAGGGTGTTTCAAAGGTGAATGCAACAGGACCTGTAACTCATCACTATCTATCAGCTGAATAGCAATTGGACACTTACCTCCAGCTCATAGATTCACTGTCCAATAACAACCATTCCTATCTCCTTGTGTCCATACTGCAGTATCACTCCGCAGTATCAGAGCTGTGGATGGTCAATCAAGCAAGACAAATAACCTGGCAGAGAACGCAATAGAAGGGCAGAGCAAAGCACAGCAGAGAGCTGGAGATGGAGAGCGGCCACAGATGATCAGAAAGCTGGTGCTGAAGCTGAAGACTAGAGGTAGCGATGAGATGAGAGAGCAGGCTGTCTGTGGAGCAGTAACATCGAGACCAAGCAAGAAAAATAAGTAGGAAAGAAAGCTGAGCAACATTGGGATGTTCAACTTCAAGGTAATCGGTAGAGCCAGAGGTAGTCATAGGTGGTCGTAGCCTCTGTCACGGTGGTGGTGGTTCGAATTCAAGACGCGAAGGCAGTGGGAACTGCACGTGACATGTTCAAATCGACTCTGAGCTGCGATGTATTCTGTCGATACGAGTCTGTATGTACTTACAACAAGGACCTGTATCAAACCTGTCTCATTCTAATTCAACTAGTTATCTAGTTATTAAATTTACAAATCATAAATAAATAATTCCACATTCACTGATTTTGGCTATGTCTCCTTACTATTACTAGGTGCTAATCGTAAAAAAAAAATACTGCCAACGCCATTATCCAGATCAGCTTGAAAGGTCTCTGCTACGTACTTGTGTATACATAGCTATTGGGAGACACAAAGTAATAGGATTTTCAGATAAACTAGTTCACTGGCCTACGTCTGGGGCTAGCGTTGAAAGACTAGCGATTCCTAGCGATTCCTTGCGACCCTACACCACGTGGGACTACATAGAAGACCGAACAGCTATGTAGACAATTAGCCGCCCGTGTCAACTTTCGTGATGCTGTCTTGGCCCGAAAGAAGCCGCAGTACTTTACTTCTTGTGATTTAGAAGGAAGAAAAAGATGGTTATAATGTGGCCTCAGCGTAATCGCCAAGACTGCACGAGCCTGGGTGGTGGTATATGGAATGTGAGTGGTAGAGACCAACTCTGATTCAATCCTAGTGTCGGCTGCCAATCAACGCCGAGGCTTGGTAAATTATTGTCGTAATAACTCGCTCTCGATAAAATAAGGGATATATCGCCACTTCCAAATCTGTACAACATGTCAGTAACAAAATTAGAAACAATAAAGGCATCCTCTTACTGAAAATGTGCGGTTCGCTCGGATTAGCAAAAGTGTCGTATCTGATGAAAATGATTACTGTCATAAATGGGCAGGGATTCCAGGGTAGCCAATCAAAATGCTAGCGATTAGGAAGGATTTCAGGAGGTATTCATGTGTGTGAGAGAGGTATGAAGGTTAAATTACTTATAATTAACTGTTAAATCAGCATCGAGGAAACTCTACTGACCGAATAAGTGTACAGCTACCAAATTAGATAACGTACTTATTTGACCAATGGCCTTTAATCAGAATAATAGAGATATATCCTATTGGGCAGCAGGGCCATCAGTACTGCCAAATATCAATGTCGAAGACAATATCTTCTTGCTCAACCTAAATCCATTGAGATCTGGGGGTTGACATATCAGCATAAATCCGTTCCGAGTGTTTCCGTTAATACCGAATACAAATCGGGGAAGTTAAGTGGTTAATGCATGCCCTGACAACGTACTTATATCAGACCTAGTAGGCGACGGGCGCAGGAAAATCCGGAAATACATGAATTAGATACCTTCAATGGATCGTTCCGTATGAATAAACGTGGGGAGAGTAGTGTCGTTGGGAGCAGACTGGCACCGTTGGGCAGCGGTGGTATCGGACGCGATACACGCGACAGTTACGCGACGGTGTGACGGGGAACTCGAGAAGGCGAGCTAAGATTCTTCAGCTGCTTGATTTCATGCGTCATGACCTCTCTGAAATATTGGGGGAGTCCATGACTTCTCTGAAATGGGGGGGGGGGGTTTGATCTCTCTGAAATATCGGGGGGTCTACAAAGGGCAGGAATGATACGATTTGTTCCATGTCTATCAGAGCTTGCTGCCTCGAGAGATGACAACTGCAGCTTTCTACCGTTTCCAACAGCTATCACCAATCTATGAGTAGAGTTCATCTTTGAGTGCATGGCAGAGAGAATTTGGATCCGGTTTGAGTATGAATGTCTATAGATAAAGAGGGCGGAAGGAAGGTTCAACATTGTGCACATGCTCCCACCTCTGCTTCAAGTTCCTGCGATAAAGAATTGATACTACATCTGTGAGTGTGTTCATTTGGGACCCGACCCTGCGTGCGCTCCCCCTTCCTCCCTTGGGCCCGACGCTGCGTGCGTTCCCCATCCTCCATTGGGGCCCGACGCTGCGTGCGTTCCCCCTCTCTCTTAGGGGCCCGGTGCTGCGTGCGCTCCCCCTTCCCCCTTCCTCTGGGGCCCGACGCTGCGTGCGTTCCCCATCCTCCCTCGGGGCCCGTGCTGCGTGTGTCCCCCCTCCTTCCCTGGTGCCGAGTGCTGCATGCGTTCCCTCCTTCCCCCATGGGCTCGACGCCGTGTCCCTACTCAAACCCGCGGATTACCCCCTCTGGCCAATTGTTGTCCGGCGGACCTACAATGTCCCATGGAATACCCGCTGGTTCCACATTTCTCCCCGTATTGATAGGATATTAGTATCTCCCATTCGTCCGAGGTTACTCTAATTTGCCAGGGCCGTAACTCCGGTATTGGTTACGCGGTCATACTTTCCCGCGTTATCTTACTGTGACACTTCTCGTCACACTCCGCAGAAAACATTTATGTTACATGATACTCCCTATCTACACTCACCACTACCATTCTTTACCCCTCTTCCCACCCTCCTATTCACAGCTTATATACATCACCGCATACTGTGGCTGGCGCGATTGCAGCCTCTCGATGCAGCAGGCTACCTGACCGTCTAGGCAGTATGTGGCTGCAGCGTGCTGAGACTGTAAGCATAAAGGTGTGCGACACATTGCTTACATATGCAGCATGCTGGGCAGCAAACTAGCGTTCCGTACTGGGACCTATGCCGGCAATTCCTCCTCCTCCTCCTCCTCCTCCCACCAACATTTGAGACGCCCATTGCTAACATTACGTCATCCTAGAATCATTTTTCTGAACTCGATCCAGCATTCAAGGACAAGAAGTAGTCCGCATTTATCCTGCTACTTACTCTGCCAGGTCTCGATGACACCCGTGCTTGTGGTAGCGACAACGCATTGACGGATATCCAGAATCCATAGCGGTTTGAAAACTCCTTGATATAGGAATAAAAATAAAGCACGTGCTCTAATTTTCTGAGTCGGTGTATCAGCATGACTAGTACTTACTATAAGTGCTTAGGTTCATCAAAGTCATCGATGGCTCTATGTCTATCAGTGAGCTATATTAAACATGCCAGATATCTGCCCCATGGCTCAGTTGGCTTTAGCGTCCGACTGTTAAAGTCTCCTAACAAGGTTGCTTGTGAATCGGAAGGTCGAGGGTTCAAGCCTTTCTGGAGCAGTACCTTTTTCCTCCTGTGTCGTATTGACTTGTTGTTTTGCTCACTAGATCTCTAATACGTATACACACTTATTTTGAATGATGGTCTATCGATTATGATTTCTAACTCAACCATTCCTTCCCTCAACTCCAAAATAAAAGACTTTCTTTATCGGGAATAATGACGATAAGTCGATGAGGTCATCATCAACGAGAATTCATGACAATTTACCGCCAACCTACACACACAATACCTTATTTTCTATCAGATCCAACATTACATAGACAAACACTTAGTAGAACGATTTCAGTTGTTGTGTACTATCGTTCAGTTGCTATGCAAGAAACACGAGTATGGGGTCAATATGAGTACCGAGCAGCCCACAATAACTAATAATGCATACCACAAGGTGGACAACATCCGATACTCTTCAGGATAAATATTAGGGACTCTATCAATATTTTAAGAGAGGAAACATCGATTCGCCGCAGGATCCAGATAGTCCGCAACACGAAGATGTGATAATTTTTGAGAATACATTGATCGGGGCCCATACTAGGAGAAACTCATCGAGTTGCTTGTAAGAGCTTCAAGATTCGATTAGGGCTATGTAAAGCAACCTGGCCATTTACAAAGAAGCATAGACATGTACGGGATTTGTTATTTTGAATAGGTTACCCACACGCAACTGCGTCCATAAATTATCCAGGACAGTCTTCACAATGCTACACCGTGACTTTTGATCCGAGCATATATCGAGAGGTGGGAATTGTCCAATCAATATCATCGTAAAGTGATTGCAAGGGTAGGGCTATATATTTGAAGGGCGTCCAATGATAGGCCGAATAATAACTTGTCAAGTGCTGGTTCAGGGGAATGAAGCACAGCGCTACCCGCATCATTTAGGAACAGTTTAACCCATTCGTTTTCGGTTCTTGGATCCTCTGCAACTTGAATATGCGTGATAGACGGCACGACTTGCAAAAGCAGATCAAAGAGCCCAGCATGGTCATTCCGATCGATATTTTTTAGGAGACCGCCCAGAACTTTGAGTTTTGGGAAGTTGGATAATTTGAGGATACGGCTTTTCAATTGAGTCGGATCCTGTGACATACAGGTATTAGGCGACTGAGTATCAATAAGTTACTGCTGGACTCACCAATCTCTGCATTCCCTGCGCTGATATATACAATGTTAGGTGCTCTAAAGCTGGAGGCAAACTCTCCAGTAGTTCGCTCAATTGGTCATAATCAATTACGGTGACTAGAGTACGAAGACCTGTCAAAGAGGAAATAAATCGAAATATGGTCCAATCGATGCGACCAATCAATAGATGGCGTAGTTTGGGAGGTGCCTTGCCCTTGAACCTTATAGGAGAGAGGCTACCATTTTGGAGATCCCGAATTTCCGAGCCTAAGCCGATATTAAAGGCAAGGGTTTGGATATTTTGCAATATATTGAGGTCAAACTCATTATAAAGTGTAAAGTCATCTCCATAGAGAAATATACGTTCGAGACCGGGATGTCGATTTAGAAACGCTTTCAGCACTTGATTAATCATCGGTGGATCGGGTCCATGTTCTAATATTATTGTCAAGCGACGCAGGCAAGGCCAATTTCCGTTTTGAAGGAGTTGCAAAAGAATGGTGTGAGAATCTCCCATGAAAAGATCCATATTGGTCAGGCGGGTACAGTCTTTTACCAGGAATTGCACTATCGGATTTGCCAGCTCCGACTCTAGAAGGTCCTGATCGTAGTGAACCACAGAGACACTTTCCAGTGAACTAATCGTCGAAGGCTGAAATGAGAATGTGAGTAAGCAAAAGATGTTTCCTGAAACGAAATTATTTACCGGATTGGGAATGGTCACATCCGTCAGACTCCAATCCAATTCTTTGAGGTTCTTCCAGGACTTTAATCCTTCTTGATATATCAATGACGCCGCCGAGTTCCACAGTCTGTCTGTTTCCATGGCTCTCCAAGTCAGAGAAGTCAAAGACGTCAAGTAAGGAATAATCGTTTGGATATTCTTTAAGCAATCTGAAATGTATTTTTCTGAGGCACTGTGGTCGTCCTGAGAGCCATCCTTCAGGGCCAGAACTCCAAGGCACCGGGGAAGAAGTGGGGTATGTCCAGGTATTTCATCATCAAACGCTTCCGTGTCAAATAACCTAAGAATGCGAATACGCGAACATAAAAGAGGGCGTTCTGCTAGGCGTTTCCATAGAGAATTGCACCAGAGATCGCAGACGATAACCCGAAATTGGATGTGAAAAGGAACGATGAGGGTGTAGAAATGTTTAGATGTGAGCGCAAAGGATAATAAATCCTTTGGAGAATCCAGCATTGTGAGGATAGCATCTTGAATCTCAATAGGAGCTTTTGCTAGCGTTCCCGTTGACATGGTGGGAGGAGACAAGGACGGCATGCACAGCCACCCGGTTAGCGCTGCGTACATAGTCGTCTGCATCGGTAAACATAGTGTAAACAGAGCGGTTAATAGAGAGTTTGCGCAGACGCCACAGCCACGCCTTGTGGCTTTACGACGTCACGCTATTTTGCGGAATGATTGGCCACGTGGCTGTGGAGCCAGAGCCGTGGCTCAACTTGAAGCTCCAGTTTAGTCGTTCTGTGGCTTCTGTCAAGGGACCCGCTCCTTCCAAGTCAGGAAGGAGCCACAGCGTAACCACAGGCAGCGCAATGTCGCGAAGCCACGAGGTGACGCTGTGGCTTCTGCGCAAACTTTCTAATACCATCGGTCAGCATTTCCGGCCAATACCTTTAATTATTAGAAGTCGGAAGGACTCTCAAGGCAAGCTTCTTGGATATCAACGAAACCAATGGTTCTACTCTACTCTGCGAGATTCGAACACGGACATTTCTACTAGTATATAGTACTACTAGGTTCGTCTCGAAGCTATCCCTCTAAATAAACCCCATAGTTCCCGTATATAAATTCACCTGAAAGCATCCATTGAAAACGATCCTATGTTCTCGTTCTCGCTCTGGCAAACCCTGCCCCTGTATCTCGTATCGACGAAATCGAGATGATATTATCGCAGTAAAAACTAGAAGAGATGCAGGTACGTGAATTATACGGCTCCCACATCACATCAACGAGTCCACTAAATGCTTCTCGAGGTAACGCAAAAGGGCGCTAGTCTCGTTGCAGAATCTCTCGAGGGTCTCCCGTTGATTGTCTGTTGCAGATCGAACCGATGGTACCACAATTCATAACTTTGGAGAATTCCGCATGAACCCCTGCATAAGTGGCAGAAATTCTTCCCAGCTCTGTAAAAAATCGAATTCTGGGAGAATAACCTTTTCGAGGGATGGTAGAGTATTTTCATCCATCCACTTAGAAAGAGTTGAATAATGAGAGCCTCTCGAAGTTCGAGGACCTTCACAGAAGGTAATTGCGGAAATGAAATGAACCATGTTGAATGCGGTAAAATCTGAAGACGTGTGACGGCTCGGATTGACTTGCTAAATTCTGATATTGATTGATGTTCAGGAATTCTGATCCATTAACTCTATTGGAACATCCGATTGCAGTACTCGAAGGTCCACGCCTAATTTCCCAAAAATCTGCATCAGAGACAGTTGAATATAAATTAGGATGAGTGCTCAACGTGGAAAGGAGGTTATGCATCGAAGTTGCGGTGAAGAAAGAGGCAGAGACAGCGATCTCTCAAATGTGCAGGGCGAATATAGCACGAAAGAATATGTCCAGGTCTTATAGACTCTCAACATGGAACAACACTTTGCGAAGCGACAAAAGAGATATAAGACTGGAGAAGAAGGCTTCCTGACGTGCGGGTAACCCCATCACAAGAGTCTCCAAGTTGGGATTGAGAGACAGGATTAGCAGCAAATCTTGCCACTCATCCTTAGGACCCATGATAACAGCCACTTCAAAATACAAGGAAGTGATATCTTTCCAAGGATTACTGGACAGTGGGGGATAATTTTCGTAGTTCCAGTGTGTATAGCTTAATTTGGGAGCATAGCCAGCAAATAGTGGCAGGTTCGTGCATAAAAGGCTAATATCCCCATCGGGCTTGAGGCTATACAGCGTCAATTCTGGAAATGCAGTTGTATAGATTACTTCGAATACCGTGTGAGACGCGGTGCGCACCATGGTCAGAAACCGATGGGAAATGCGAGTAGCATTGTGACGAATAAAGTCGCAGACTACCTGCACGACCACCGATTCTTCGCGTGTGAAACAATGATGAGAAAATCCTTGATAATCTTCTACCTTCAAGTACTCCGTGGAGGCAAGTTCTGAGCACAATGCCGCAAATTTGGGATAGTAGGGTTGGATTGTTTTCCAGAGGGTTCGTTTATTTCTTGAGATAAAACGCCATCTCGATGGCACGTGTGACAGGACATCGGTCTTCAACGGATCATGATAATGATGATCTAGTTTGTGTCTAAATCCTAATCAAGGAGTTCCCGTTGCATCTTCGAAGATTTCAGTCAGGAGCTTGGGTGGGAGTCCATCGATATGGCAGGTTAAACTGCTTAAGTTTAGGTAGCCGAAAGTTAGATACGTTACGCGTGATAGACTGGAATAATGTCACTTGCCTATGAAAAGTGGTTGAACAAACTTCTGACATGTTATTGACAAGGGAAGAAATAAGAGGGAATAGCTTGTGCTTATCGACCTGTCATCGATGGTTCCACGTTCACGCGCCGATTAGAATATTTATCGGACTTTACGTGAAAGTCTCCTCCAAGGAAATACTTTCTCCCACTGTGAAGGTATGTTATTTAATATATATGTATTAGTATTATTTAGTACCTGAGCACGCCATTTGAGCTGTTTGGATGGATTCATGAAATTAATGCTGAATCGCTTGGCTCATAGACTTCAACCTATTAGCTTGATAACCGAGTTCCTTACTAAATTCTTCTTTACTGTCTGCTTCAAGCAGAGGACGAATACTGATATATTTTAGAGATTAGATAGTCTATTACTAAAATAATTTGATGAAGCTTTTAATGGTACTGACTTC